CAGACAGATGGTCATGAGTTACAGACAGATGGTCATGAGTTACAGACTGATAGCTATGAGGTACAGCCATGAGTTATAGACCATCAACAGCAGATGAACTAAGCTGAAACAATCTGCTAGATGCTGCCAGTCTCCAGCAGGCCACAGTTGCCCTACTGAACTGGTTATGGGGGGATGGCAGTTTGTGTAACCTGTGCCCTGTGGCTACTGCTAGTCTCATGCTGATGGCTGTCTTCCTCATTTCAGGCTTCTCCAGTGACAGTGACCTCCTGTCCCTCACTGTTGATGCAGACTCTCTTGCTGAGGTAGATGATGGAATGGCTTCCAGCCAGGGTTCTCCCAGTAGAACTTTTGGTCTGAGTGTGTCTGTGGATCCTTCAGCAGTAGGGGCTGTTGCTTCTGACAGTGAACCAAGTAAAGCAGAAGAGCGGGAAAGCCGCAGCCTCTTCCCCAGCAGCTTAAAGCCAAGGCTCGGCAGGAGGGACTACCTGGAGAAGGCAGGGGAACTCATCAAACTGGCCTTGAAGAAGGAGGAGGAAGACGACTATGAAGCTGCTTCTGACCTTTACAGGAAGGGGGTCGACCTGCTCCTAGAAGGTGTGCAAGGTACGGTTTGCCCACAGTTGTGTCCTGGCCTGGCTCATGCAGTACGAGGCTCTGTACTGTGCCTGGAAGCCCTATGTTCCGTGTCCAGGAGGGGACATGAGAAGCCACAGCGGTGACATCATCTCAGGTGCTTGGCACTCTGAGCCATCTAGCAAAGTGGGTCATTTCAGAGGGCAGGGTGCCCACATGTGCCGTGTGCATGGTGGGCTTTCTCCTGACTTGAGCTCAGCGTTCACTGAGAGCTCCTGGCACAGCCATGACTCAGTGGAGAAGGGAGGCTCTGTGTCCAGCCCTCTGCTTGCTGCTAGCGGAGGTCACTGTCACCTCCACCTAGTCAGTGCAAGTGACAGAACATGCTGAGCTGAGCAGAAGGCAGTGTCTCTAAGCACAACTTTTTTCTGTTAGTACCAGGTTTTATTCCTGTACTCTCCTTTCCACCACAAGGGCAGAATAAAGTGCCCTGTAGTTAGAGATGTGACTTTTGGACAAGACGTGATAGTCAAAGGCTGATGTGACTTTCTTCAGTGGGCTGTGGAGAGTCATTTCTGCTGCGGTTCTGTGCCTCTTACCTCTGCTTCTTATCCTAACACTTCCCTTCACTATTTCCTCTCAGTCCGCCTGGTGCCCCGGTAGTCTAGAGCCTTCTGCCCTCTTTCTAGAGTGTGCGTGTTGGTGTGTATCTAAACGGCTTCTTTAGAAAAAGATTTATTTGTTATGCCTACAGTGTTCTGCCTGCATGTGTGCCTGCACGCCAGACGAGGGCAGCAGAGCTCACTATAGATGGCTGTGAGCCACCGTGTGGGTGCTGGGACTTGAACTCAGGACCTTTGGAAGAACAGTCAGGGCTCTTAACCTCTGAGCCATCTAAACTGCTTCTTATCAAGCACTTTTAATGAACTTTTTCTTAACACTTTTAGATTTATTTGTGTGCATGAGTGTTTTGCCTGTGTGTATGTCTGTGTACGTATACAACATTTGGGAACCCGATGCCCTGGGCGGTCAAAGCAGGTATCAGGCCCCCTGGAACTGGAATATAGACAGCTGTGAGTTGCCATATGGGCACTGGGAGCTGAAGCAGGACCCTTGGGAAGAGCAGAAAGGGCTTTTAGCTGCCCTAAGTCCTCTGCATGAGCCCACATGGCTCTGGACCCTGAGGAACGTCGCGTCTTAATTTTAGTTTTCGTTGTGGGAGGAGGGCAAATGTGTGTATGCGAGTGCTCTGTGCCCTCGGCGCTGGAGTTAGTTTCGAGCAGCGTGCTAGGTCAGGTCCTCTGGAGGAGAAGTGTGCGCTGTGCACCGCGGAGCCGTCCCTCCGTCGGAGACTTCGCCTTGGACGCCCACGTGTCCTCTCCTACCTGCTTTTTCTCTAGCACTTTGATGATTGTATTCACGCAAACACTAATTTCTCAACCGTTTACTTCTGAGTTCCTAAGGTCCTGTTGCTCTTCTTTTTCTCCCAGCCTCTGCTCTTGTAGGGTTTTGTCCTAAGTGAACTCTTCTGCTGTCGCTAGTGGAGTTTCAGGAGTGTAGAGCTGAGCGTGTTCCGTTGTCGTCTTTCTCTAGAAGTGCAGGTTGCACAGTCACTGTGTGCTTCCAGGGTCACAAAGCTGTGGACATTCACGCGTGCAGCAGGGAGGGAACCTGTTATCTGGGGTGACACGCAGTGTCAGGGAACTGACTCATATTCAGTCCGTGGAACCCCAGTGTCACAAATATTACTGTGGCTGTAATTTTAGCATTTCAAATTGAGAAATTAATGCTGAAATAATTTGTTTTCATCTCTCGATTGGTAGATGACTTTTTACCCAGTTTTGTTTCTCAGGCCTTTTTTAGTCTGTTGGAGTTAGTTTATGTATGGAGTATTCTGTCTAAGACCTCTTCATTTCCGTTCCTTTCCCTGTCGTCTTGGATTGCGGTTTATAGTGGGATGAGTTGCAGAATATCTGTTCTGATGTTCCTTGTTTTCCAAACATAATTTACTAGTTAGCCAAGACATTCTTGGCACTAGATTAGCATAGGTGAGCCGTATCACTGTGACATCTTTCTGTCTAAAGTGTGTGTTTAAAAGGGACACTTCATGAAGCTGCCACTTGATGGCACTAGAAAAATAAAAATCATTGCCTCATGCTGAGAAGGGTAAATGCAGATCTGGGTGTAACAAAGACTCATCAGTTAGTCACTAAGCCTGTGTTAAAGCGGCAGTACTTCTGTAAACTCGCGACAGAGCTCTCTGAGTGGCCGAAGCGAGGCAGCATTGCCAGCTCTGTCTTCTGAGCCTCTCTGTCCGAAGCCACAGCCTCCCCGAACGGTCCACTGTCAGTGTGCATGCAGAAAGCAAGCGATTTCATTGTGCGTGTTTCATTGTGCGCTCACTTCCCAATGGCTTCATTCAGACAAACTTTGGGAACCTTAATTACCGAATTCTAGCTTTTTGTTTTCTTTTTTCACTCAGCTACAATCGATGAAATTCTGATTCTTTTTAAAGAATGTGTGTTTCCGTCCATGCAGTTTTGCACATGACGGGATGTGAGTGTGACATCAGAGCAGAGTCCTAGGACTCTGCAGTGGCACAGTGCTCCCACCCTGCAGACCTGTGGGCCCTGTCCCTAAATTTGCAGAATAGTCTCCAGCTTATGGTTGGTTTCTCAGGAAAGATGCCTTCTTGGGGAAAGTTTCTTCTGGTCTGACAGAGCTGTCACTGAAGTGTCAGAGTTGGTAAGACTTTTGAGTAAAGAGCCTCCACTTAGCTCTTTCCAGGGCATTGCTCCCACGGCCTTGGTTTGGCTCTGCATGTTGTATGGGAGTGGTTGCTGGCCTCTGGCTGTCAGGAAAAGTCTTTCAGAGAGGAGCTGGCAAGCTTTGTCTGTGGTTCTCACAGGTTGGAAGAGCTTGCTTCTTTCCTGAGCTTCTCCTTGTAAAGTGGAGCCAGTCAGGTTGTGGTAGAGCTGGTAGAAATGCCAGCACTTCTCTTACTTAGTGGCATTTTCGTGGAGGACACTAGAGGTACTGTCTTCTAGACTCTCAGGTTGCTATCGATTTAAAAAGAAGAAGCTTGGGAGTCAAAGTCACAGGAATCGACCTAGCTTTGTGGAGAGCAGGCAGTCTGTTCCATGCCACCCTGCCATGTCCTACTTTACCCTTAGAGTGGGCTGGTGAGGGACGTTAAGGCAGTATAGCATGCCAATCAGGTAGCAAAAGACACTACTGAAATGCAGCAGCAGCAGCAGCAGCAGCTGCACGGCCTGCCATGTGTTAAATGCTGTCACAGTACCACTTATTTTCTTACGTTCTTTTTAATTTTCAGGAAAGCCACAGCTGAGTTCTAGCTTGTCATACTGGGTGTTGTCTGGGGACACTGAAGTTTAGAGGCCGCAAATACGGCAACGATCCGAAAGCTTGGCACTTACTCAGCGAGAACAATTGTTTAAAACAGGAGTTTGCCACAGGTGTTGCTCTGGTACCACTGCGGTCCCTGGGAATTAGAGCTGCTCTGTGCCTTCCCCTGTGGTGTCTTGGTTGCCACAGAGCCGTGTTTGCTGCTGTCTTTCAGGGGAGGGCCAGGTGGAGTCGTTAGCTGCTGGTGCTCAGGGGCAGCGAGGCTGAGGGGGGATGAGTCTGGGCTTTTCCACACACAAACCTTGGTCACTGGCTGTGGTGCTGCTCGGGAGAGTGGCCCCCTCGCCCACGTCTCTCCTGATCATGTGAGCTCGGTGATTAGGAGACATGGTGAGTTCTCCGTGTCTTGCACTGAGCTTGATGTTACACGTTCATTCCTTCTCCATTTCCTGTTCTGAGTTCAAGCTTCTGTCTGTCGTAGTGATCATCCAGCAAGCGGTGTTTACATGTATGTACCACACGTGGAGATAGTGAATTACATGAGGTTTGTGATGCTGCTTCCAAATGACACAGCCCTGCTGTGTGTGTCTGTGGTGCGTGACAGCACGGTGAACATCGGGAGGGTCTGGAGAGCGTGCTGTCCGGCCACACCTGCTTTTCAGGGACTTGGTGGCAGTGCCACACTTGTCCCAGCTACACGTCTTTCCTGCATCCCCGACTCCTCCTGCCCTCTCTGCCTCCTCTTCCTTCCCTGGCCAGTCTCCCTTCCGTCTCCTCGCCCCTTTGCTTCCTTTTCGTTTGATATATCCAGTCTACATTATGGAGGAGGTTTATAATGAAAAGAGTTATTGTTGGTACGTATTTTGTTGCTGGAAACTCTGTTGGTATTTGTCACCAGTGCAACTGGTTCCAGTGTTATGACTTAGCCACAGTTAGACACAATTCACGCTCTGCCGTTTGCATCCTGGCAAGGATCTGATAGCAATACCCAGCCTTCCCCACAGTGTGCTCCACCCCAGGAGCCATGTGCTTAGCTCTTCGCTGGCCCAGCTGGACTGTCGCTGTTCTCAGCACTGTGCTGTCCTGTCTCTTCTGGCCCTGGCTTGTCTTCCTGGAAGGAGCCATCAGCCAGATGTACATCTGGGTGACTTGAGTTACCAGGTGGGCTCTGAGTTAAGCCATGTGTCAAGAGGCTGGTTTTAGAACATGCCTGGGCCTTGCTGAGGGGCCCCGCCCTGTGCCCATAGTCATCTGAGAAGCAGCTGGGACCAGTGATTCTTGAGTGAGAGTTGCTCGCATATTCGGAAACTCTGTACATCACTGTGTTTGCTTTGAAGTGGACAGACAGACAGCACAGGCGGGAAAGTGTGAGTGTGATGGATGGAAAGCAAGACATTACATGTTAGCATTGGATCTTAGAAATGAAAAATGTCGATGGGCCGGAGAGACGGCTTAGAGGGTAAGAACACTGGCTGTTCTTCCAAAGGTCCTGAGTTCAATTCCCAGGAACCACATGGTGGCTCACAACCATCTATAGTGAGAGCCCTCTTCTGGTTTGCAGGCACACAGCAGGCAGAATGTTGTGTAAGTGATAAAATAATAAATAAATCTTTAAAAAAAGAAATGGGAAATGTCACTTTGATAGCTGAGATAATTATCTCTAC